CACTCGCCACTGAGGAAGGACTAGTGTTGTCCGAAAGCTCTGGTTCTATTTCTGGCTGTTTACTTACGTTTACTTTTTAGCTGTTGCTTATCATTTTTGTATCTCTACTGAGATCCAGCCATTGTTTCCCACAGCATTGTTGTTTTCCAGTATTTTGCCTTTTAATCTATATATATAATTACATATATTTTTTGTAAAGCATTACCGCAAGGTGGTTAGATTTAATATTTATATAGATTTGATTTAGATTTATTTAGATTTTATAATTTACGTTTGCGAAGATACTGCCTTGTCCAAATTTAAATTGCTTAAGACGGCCGGGCATATCAAATATATCTCTGCACGTCTGTGCGTGTGCTTTGAGTTGTATTGAATTAAAAAGATGATAATATACTTTTTTATAAATACGTTTTGTCCTCATACGTTTGTTTTTCTAAGAAAATTCTATCATCTTTAATTATCACTTGTGTTTCTCCATACCAAAATTACTAGGCCTATCATTTTCTTTTTTCCAGGAGTTGTTAGCTACAGCGATGAACGACAGTGAATATGAATCTTATTCCAATTACGGAAATGAATACGATGCTTCGCCTTTACTTTGGCAAGTATGCATTAATGTCATGGAGTTGATATTTTTAACCATTGGAATATTTGGAAATACGTTGTTGATCATCATCATTAGCGCAAACAAGACCATGCGAAGCGCCCCCAACTATTTGCTAGTTTGCTTAGCAGTTGGCGATATGTTGCTGCTAACATTAGGTGTTCCTGTTTTTGTGCTGATGAGACACGCCAAATATGTGGAATTTATTCACAACTCTACTTTTGGCTGTAAGTTTATACACGGCTGCCTTGTGGTTGCAGAAAGCGTCTCCATCGGAACTTTTACCGCCCTCAGTGTTGATCGGTATATGGTTATTCGCTACAGGATTTCGAGTTCCTCGAACACGCAAAGCTACCGTAAATATATTTGTATCTGCATTTTTATCTGGATTGTCGCTTTGTTGATTGGCACACCCATATTCCATCAAGCGTATGTCGAATCATGGGCATTTTACAATATGACTACTTGTTATCCGTATGAAATGTATTCAACGTTTGCAAAAGCATATCAGGTTATGCTTGCAATTTTTCTATATATAATACCTCTAATGCTAATCTTAATTTGCTATTCGAAAATGGCGTTTATTTTGATGACGAGCATACGGACAAACAATGTCATAAGCCAAGGCTCCGCCCCAGATGCCATGATGAGAAGGCGTTATTTGGCGCGAAGTGTATTAGTCATGATACTAGTTTTTGCCGTCTGTTGGCTTCCGTGGCACGCTGCAGAAATCGTGAGGCAGTTTTTTGCGTATAACAGTTTTGAAGTACAAAGCCACATATGGGTTATTATAAAAGATATTAAGTACTTGTTGATCATTTTCAGTGCAAGTGCTAATCCTTTGGTCCTTTTCACTGTCAGTAAACAGTTCCAGAAGTATCTTAGGAGATATTTCTGCTGTAAAAAATCATTAACTTTCCACAGTAAACGATCAAAATACACCAGCGGAAAATCATCTGACAATAATTATACATTGGTGCCAGCGAACAGAAAGATACACGAAAAAGAACCAATTCGAAGTTCTACTACAAGCACTACAGTGTTGTGACATGGCATGTGCTGTTGGTAATAGAAGGATCCAGCTGTTATGCAGACTTATCAGTGGATAAAACTAAAGTGCCAAAGTTTGTGGACCTGGAGCAAGAAAAGTAAACACCAGAAAAGGACCTTATCACAAATCACCTTCTTTTGAATCTCAATTGAAACTATAACATTGAGATGAATTCGAATCTGAGTTAATGGCTGTACGACAAGTTAGTGTGTATACGATCAAATTATGAAAAATTATTTTCATGGTGTATAATGTAAAATGTTCATGTGACACATACACAGTTGACCTGGCGACATAAGGAATTTAATGACCGGGCGGGAGAGTACATGATTCGTCTTATTTTTGCTTAAAGTCATCAAACCAAAGTAGCTGTAGCAGAACCCCCAAAAGTCCCGAGTAAACACCTAAAAAGTAGGCCTACCACTGTGGCACTTGTATAGAAACGTACTTAAAACAAAAGAAGTTTGTAAGACAATAGTCCAGTAGAATAGACCATCTGAATTTGTCAACGCAATGCTGAAATGGATGTTACGTAATCGATAGGGAAACAAGGTTAAAAATCACACTAATTCTCAATTAAGCAACCACGTAGTGAATAATTTGATCTGTTGTTATTGATATCTTGTATTTGCAGTGCATCGAGAACTCGTTGTTCCATGCACGTGCATGAAAAAATCATATAAATTCCCAAAGAAGCCCCCAAGTACATAATAGGCATCAGGAGGTCCCGAGTTCAAATCCAGGTTGTGTGACAACTTTTTCTTTTTTTTTCTCGCTTGCAGATTCATTCTTTTTACTGATATAATCCGAAAACAGTTTTAACGTTATTCTCTGCACAATGATTACAGGTATTTGGCAAATGACAAAAAAAAGGGGGCAAGCCGGATTATGACCAAATAATTATTACTATCAATGAAAAGTAACAGATGGTAATGCGACCACGATTAAAGACAAAAACAGCCTCCATCGGGACTGCTTGAACCCAGGTCATTACACTGGTGAATATGTCAAGCATTTGTGTTTTAGTGGCATGACATTTAAAATGTAAGCTAGTGTAAATGTAGCTTGGTGGTTAAGATACCTGCCTTCCAATCCCAGACTCCTGGGTTCAAATCACGCGACAGCACAGGATATTTTCTTACGACTAAATAAACATCTCCACTTTCTAAGCCCCGAAATGGGACTTATTTTATAATGCATCTTATTATTATTATTAGGCCTATTATTATTATTATTATTATTATTATTATTATTATTATTATTATTATTATTTCCATTTCGTTTATTTAAGAGGGTCCCTGAATATCAACTAAGCTGAAAGGATCACCCTCTATAAATATAATGTAAAAAGAAATAAGCTCGAGTTTGAGTAAATACCGTATGAACGTTTGTATGTATATAATGTATTAAAGAGTAAGACCTTTCTATATTCCGTGTAAAGTATCTGTAAAAAAAATTAGTTATATATTAAAAAAAAAAAAGCATGATAGTATACCAGAAATTTTTATAAATTGTTTATTCGTGTTGTACACTTTCAGAAATAGGGGACGTATACTTTTACACTTATAGCCTACTGAGCTTATAATTGCGAGTGCCTCTGAAAATGACAATAGGCTTTAAGCTCTAAAAAGAAAACTTTGCTCCATATCATCAGATCAGAACGGCAAGCCCATGTGCCCAACATAATTATAAATTGGCTCACAAAGTATGACTTGGATTTGCTGTTGTTTTTCTAGTGACATTTCGCAATTGATCAACTGGCGCACCTTAATTTGGATGAATAATTAATGTAAAGATTTTAGAGAGAGGTGTATGTCTAAAATGTCTGATTTCATCTATTTGGTTCTTAATGAGCTTTTCAGTGTTGTAATTAATTAAGTTACAGATATTATGGCAGAGAGGTATGTGCTGAGACCCATCAATTAGTAGGAAGAGTATTTAAAATGAGTGATAATAATGATGGACTTAGTCTATTCAAACAATAATTGTGATTTACTGATTAAAACTGTTTATGAACAGATTTTGAGACAGTACACTTTAAAATGAGAGTGAACAAGACAATTAGGGGTATAATTTTATTTAGGCCGTAAGCACTACCAAAAGACCATACGAAATATATGAAGAAATGTAATATTATAAACATTGATATTATAAACATTGGCATTATAAACGTTGACAGTAAATAAACTTAAATATTAAAATTCAGCAGTCCGATTGCTTACTTTGTTTATCTGGAATACTGATTAGGCCTATACTTTATATTTTCTCTATAGATTAATACATTTAATAAATTTAAGTAGAACTGTATAATAACTACCCCTTACGCCCCACTTGAAACGGTGGTCTCGAATTGGAGGGCAAACAGATTATGCAACTGCCCTGGCCCAAACAGAAAAGAATACTTTCAAATGAAGCAATAGTGAAAACCTTTAAAAAAAATAATAATAATAATTTAAAAAAAATCACAAGAACCCAATCCTTAAGTAAAGAATTGAAAACCGCAAGACATATACATAGGCGTATGAGTAGGAATGTTGTTCCACATAGTAGAAGAATGCATGAAAAAGACTTATCGCCGACACGTTTCTTGAAGATTGGCTGATGAAATTGGATCAAACATGAAGATCTTGTGTATTGTGTCTGTTCACGGTCTTGCAAGAAGTCATAGATGTAAACAGAACACATACCAGACAATTGACTTAACATATACAAGAGTAGCTTGAATTTTACTCTGGTCAATAACAGGCAATAAAAAAAAAAACACGAATCGAGTTATATTTTTAAAGGTGAAAACCGTAATAACCTCAGATGTTTGAGTGAGAAACATTGTCGGAAAGAGGGTCTATGTATTTAACATAATTTGTCATTATGATTCATTGCAGTGGCGGCGCCAGCGGGGGCAGTCAGACCCCCCACCGGACAGGTCAAGGCCCCCCCCCCCGCCGGACAGAGCTCGTCAGGCAGTCAGACCATAAAACATATAAAAATAGGCCCACACCAAGCCACACATGTCTGTCACAGTCTGAGAGTGCCATTTTTGGCCATCCAGAGGTTGATATTCTTTAAAAAATATCTCATTTGGGAGGGGGAACCCCATCTCAACACCTTCCTCCAGCTCGAGCCTACGAGCTCAAGTCCCACTGTCGGACAACTTAACCCCCCCCCCAGAAAATATATCCTAGAGCCGCCACTGTTCACTGATGAAACGATAGTAGGCGGTTGATCAGAGTGAGGCCTTTTGGTTGTAATTTCAGAACATCACCTGTAAGCACATCTGAGACCTGAAATGCTTACCTTTTGGCGACAGTCGCTGACAGCTGATGTCGCGAAGGTTGAACCTGGTTCAACTTCGCCGATTGCGTTGCAGGCGTATCAGGATGCATTGCTAGCTGCTCTGACGCAACCGGGAAGGCACGCCGATTCGTCTGCAACGCAATCGGCAAGGTTGAACCAGGTTCAACATTCTTGACAACTATCGGTGACTGTCGCTGATGGTTAGCTACTGTATGGAAACCGAGCTTCAGACTGTGAGAGCACATCTGAGGTACGAGATTCTTACTTTTTTAGAGAATAAGTAATAAAATCATTAGCACTGTTAAACTTTGGTTGCTAAAAAACAGTTTAATTATGAAAATTTCGACAAAGTTACAGCAATGGCAATTATCTAACCTATCAATTGACATTAAACCATGTCACAAGCTTTATGATTGAGAGTTTCAACCAATGAAATGACTGAGTGCAACTTATTGTAATTCACACCAAATTATATATTTAATTGTCGAAACTTATAACAATGAAAAGTAAAGGTATGATATATAAAAAAGAATACAAATTCATAAATATATAAATATCGAACGAAAATTTTCCTGCTTATAAACAAAATGTTCACACGGCTAGTCCACCCCTCACAATCATCCAAAATTAACATAAGTAATTTGCATACGCATAATTAAAATTAGCATACAAGATATCCAGGTTTCAACTTTTAAGGAGAGGTGAGCTACTACGCGAGCATTTTTTAACGACCTTCCCAGCAAACAATATTACGTTTGAAACGTGACTATAACGTTACAGTTTGTGTTGAAAACTTTATTTTGTAGAAACATAAATACGTACTAAACATAATGCACGTTCCTACCTGTCTCTTATACACATCTAGATGTGTATAAGAGACATTTGTATTGATGTCTTTTAATACTTTTTCAATATATTTAAAGACCCTATCGGAAATTAAAATGGTTTTATTGTCTATTCCTCTATATAAACGACATTACCGTCTTTCATTTCTTGTCTTCTGCTAATGAAGTATTTAAGGATGATTGCCGTGTTCGTTTTTTAATATATTATAGGCCTATATTTTATATATTTTGTAGCATGTGATATATTCATCGGCGTCGATCGGTGGTGGACAGGGGAACATGTTTCCCTACATTTCAAAGATGTGGACATCAATATAAACTGACCCCACCCTCACCTTTTTTTTTTCACCAACCTTCTAAACTTAAAACCCCACTTTTCAAAGCGAGTGGAAAGAACAACAATTATACGAATGACTGTCATTAATTTGTCTGTTTACTTGTGTTTCGTTGCCTGTGCGGTATTTCCGGACGAAGACCGTACATTTCGAATCTATTAGTAATAATCACTCCATCGATTTTTTTTTTAATTATCAGAAGCAATACCGTAACCAGCATTTGGGAGGACAGTCCCACAGAATTTTTCTATTTGGTGCAAACTATTTATACAAAGAATGGGGCAAATTTTTCGTTTTTTATAGTGGTACTGCAATTTTACGAACTCTATGCTATATTACGCTCACTCAATCTCGCCAATAATGTCATAATAATGATAAATTAGGAAATTCAAAATTCAATCTCGCACATTCCAGAAATCCATTCACCAAACGTCTTTGATCAATCAGAGCAGTTTACAGCTGGGACCGCCTTTAATTCGTCGTACAAGCAACACTTTTAACTGTATTTATATAAGCTTTTTTAGGAATTAGAGTTTTTTTTTTTTACCGCTTGCGTGTCAATAATTTACCGCGTAGAAACTCATCTTCCTTCTGGTTTCACTAAAATCATCGTTATTCTCTCTTGGAAGTCATCTTGATACTGCAGCTGCAGCTGCAGCAGGCACGGAGACCTTCGCACCGTTCGCCAGGTCATGGCGAGTGTCAGAGGAAGATAGTACTCAAACAAACGTCAAAAACAATAGAGTAGGGTATTGGTTGTTTAGACAAATAATTATATCAGATTATTGTGCGATTGTCAATGAAGCTCTGGATCCTCTAACAAACGTCCATCCACAGCAGCAGCGATGATTTCAAGCTGGTTTTCCACTAGGCGAATTTATTCGCGCGAATAAAAGTGTCGGTTTGCTTCCTGAGCTCTGATTGGTTGTGCATTTTTTCGCTTCGCAAAAACTCCGATAGAAATGTGAACGCGCATGCGCATGAACCGACGCTTTCGATTCGCGCGAATAAATTCGCCTAGTGGTGGAAAACCAGCCTGAAGTACGGATCGACGCACAGTGGGCCAGGACGAAATCAAAGTGTGCCAAAAGTCCATTGTGACTATGGCTATTAAACTTTTTTTCACATGATTGAAGAAGGGTATACCCTGGTGAATCTATCCTGAAAATATTTTACATTTAAACGAATTTTAAGGGTGGTATTTTTCAACAAATGTCAGAAATTTCTCTATAAATAATTCAAATGCTATAATTACACTACACTATATCAAAACACTTTATTTCAAAATGCACCCGTTTCTGGTATATAAATTGGGGAACACAAGTTTTGGTTTAATTTTTACATCACTATCTTCTGTATAGTCTTAGCTTTATGATGGTACCAAATTTAGCTGCAACTTTTTGAAACTTCGCGAGCTAGACGTACTTTTATCTTGTTTTCGTACATTTGAGACAATTTAATTAGAGCAGATTGCAATCAATATGGATGTACGCGCGTCTACTCAACCAGTTCATGCAAAGCGTGGGAAAAACACTCAAAAAATTGACAAACTGCTCGGGATTTAACAGTAGCAAATCTTCCAATATTTTATTGCTATTTAGAATAACTTTATTAAATTTTGAGCAGTCTAATAATCCAAGTATCATGGTGAAGGTGATACCTAGAAGCAGGCCTATATCTAGCTAGGCGTCAATTGTTTTCAACTTTATTCAAAGACATCGAAGACTTTGAAAGGCTTCCTGTTTCAACTTTTAAGGAGAGGTGAGCTACTACGCGAGCATTTTTTAACGACCTTCCCAGCAAACAATATTACGTTTGAAACGTGACTATAACGTTACAGTTTGTGTTGAAAACTTTATTTTGTAGAAACATAAATACGTACTAAACATAATGCACGTTCCTACAACGTTGTGAAAACGTTATTTTGTGACATACCTAACCACAACGTTCGCGACGACTGTTATAAGAACGTAAACACGTGTTTGCTGGGCTTCTAAAAAAAATAATAACTCGTAGCTTGACAACAGGATTCCATTTTCGGATGAAGTTATTAATGTTTTGACACAGAACAGAGACATGCTTTCTACACCAGTTGAGCTAAAGATAAAAATATATATAGAAAGTTCACTAAAAAGTCACTATAGTAAACAACACCGGCTCTCGTTTCCTGATAATCGAATCCCCATGTGGATACTTCATTAGTAAACATAATTGTATTTTTTGAAAGATTTTAAATGCAAACTGGCAAGACGTATGTCAAACGTCCGCTAATTTATGATAGATAATTATTGGCAGTTTAATATTACTGTATACGGATAAATACAGTAAAATGTATCTATTTATTTGTTTAATCATAGGATTATCTCTACGTTTTGCTAGAACACCTACGCTGGTGTTGCTTGAGCTCATTAATATTCATGACTCTGCTTAACTCATTCCTTATTTGAAAACAGCCAGGATTGGAAGGGCTGTCCATGTGTTTTTGCTTTTACAAATTGGAGTGGAGTTGAATAGCTTAGTGGTTAAGATGCTTGCCTTCCAATCCCAGGGTCATGGGCTCAATTCTTGTCAGTGTTGCAGTAATTTTTCTCACGACCAAACTCGAGCCACTCCCTAAGCCTCACATTGCGATTTAGTTTGTGTGAAGCGTCATGTGTGTATGTTTGTCTTGTGTAAGGGATTGTCACCTACACAGGACAATGATATAGTCGCTATTGACAATCCTTATTGCATGTGTTGTGTGCCTAAATAAAATAATAATAATAATAATAATAATAATAATAATAATAATAATAATAATAATAATAATCATGATTGTTTGCATACACATACTCATATTTAGGCCTCAAGCACAATGTGAATGTCTAATTATAGATAATTATCAATGATTTTATAATAAGTTTACATCCTTGGAGTTTCATGTCAATTTCAAACGCTAATGATTATTTTTAGGTTATCTCATGATGATAGACTTCCAGAAATTTGTACTAATGTTGAGAACGATTGATGTATATTCAGTTGTGTTTTTACTGTTGTATTGATATGATATTTAATTACTTAAAGTTATAGTTACTATACTAAAATTACTATGTTAATTTATGTTAATGAGATTTGATTTGAAACTGCGTTACATTATTACAGTTAATTATTTTCAAGCTGTGAATACCCATGATAATGATTCTAAAAAAACATTTAAAAAATGTTACAGTTGTGAAATTTACTTGTTATATATTTTACTGTTATAGTTTACAGTAAGGTTCTTAAAAAGATAATACAAAATAAAAGACCAATAGGCCTAATAATTAAGACCGACAATAAACTATAAGTTCCTGATCAGTTGGACACTATTATCTTTTGGCTTTCATTTAAAAATGCTTAAGGTAGCATAATAAAAACAATCGGTTATACTACTATTTTGTTCTCGGTTGTCATTTCAACAAATAATTATTGATGTACAATTTTACAACGTTATCTTAATTTTTTCGGCCTTTTGACGTATCTTCATCTATTTTGTATTGTTGTCTTTTAACACGTCTTGTATCTATAAGGACCCTATTGGAAATAAATGGTTGTATGGGCTATCCCTGTATACAAACAACACAGTCCACCTTTTCTATGATACCTAGAGGTCTTGGGACGTGGGAAGCTATGGCAAAAAATTCTGGGTCCTGGAAGTAAAAAGTCGCCGACCTTTTATAGCATTAGTACATTGATAGGCTTCGATCCGTTGGGTCAGGGGAACACATGTCCCCACATTTCACCAATCTTCTACGGTTAAAATTTTACTTTTGAAAGTGAGTGGAAAGAACAATTTATACGAATGACTGTCCTTATAATACAAAAGGATGATTGGTTGTCTAGACAAATAATTCAGACTATTCTGCGATTGTCAATGAAGCTCCAAGCTGGATCATCTAACTAACGTCCATCCACAGCAGCAGCGATGACGGATTACATGTGATGATGACATTTTCCCTAATGTATCTGTGCTTCTAAGCTTTGTTACTCTATTCCCAATGGTGGTGCCCCTCCCGCCCCCTAAATTTGTCAATATTAATATTTAAAAAAAGAAAATTGTATTCAAATTAGTACAAGAGTGCCATCTCTGGCCATCTAGAGGTGCTATAATCATAAATATTCTTCCCTCAGCACCAACCATGGTGGGGCTGAGGTGTTATCTCCCTCATCTGTGAAAGTCCCTCCCGGGCCCTGGCCTCTTCAAATTCCCTGATCCAACACTGAAAACAGTTCAATACATGCATCTTCAGAAATCGTTTAATATAAGACCTCGAATTATAAAAAAATGCATGAGCTCCGCCCACTCGTTCACAGCTGGGTTTCCCCTGGACACAGCCACACCCTCCCCCACCCTTTCAGGAGCCATTTTGGTCAACTCTCTACAAATTCGCGGCAACTCAATAAAAATCCTGTGAACGACCTGAGTGTATGCTACCGCAATTTTAGAAATCCGATGTTATATTTACTCAATCTCACCGACGACGTCATGATAATGATAAATTAAGTAAATTAATCACCTATTCGTGAAATAAAAGTGCTAGCAAATGTTTTATGTGTGTTTCCTATCTCCCTAGTCCTGTTTGATCGTAAATTAGGAGATAGATGCATTTCCACTCATAAAGATGTAGTCGAGGGGATAAAGGAAAACTCTCGATTGATTTTAAAAGTAGATACAGAGGCCGATTAGAGTAGCTCATTTAAGCTTTTTTTTTTTTCTTCAATTTTTAATTTTTCTTTTTCGAAAACATTTAACATGGGCTAATCAGTAGGTAAATGTTAGTTGCATAGATGAATCCAGTAGCAGAAATACCAGCCAGCTCCCCCCCCCACCCACACCCACCACCACCAACTTCCTAAATTTATCCACTAAAAAGTGGAAAAAAGGAAAATTATACAGTATTCAAAACTGCCTAAGTGTGAGGGTATGCTATCTTTCCAGAAATGCCTTCTTTTCAAGGCTAATTTTGCAAAGAAGGGGACTTCATTTCGAAATGGGCTTCATCTTGAGATTAAGCCCACTGGGCTTCATTTCGAAATTAAGCCCATTGGGCTTCAATTCGAGTTTTTACGGTATATGTGATTGACAGTCAATAAAAATGGTCAACAGGTCAATAAACTTTTACATTCTTATTACAGTAGACAGCCTATTATGTGTGTATATACGTTTTAAAAAAATGAGTAGTTACATACGTATTCTTTTTTTTTTCCATGAATCGATCGACCCCAAAAGGGGGTCCGAGTTCTTGTCACGTTTTGATAAAATCTATTAGTCAATTAATTTCCGTGCAGCACAGTTGAATTTGTGATTTGCATAATGATTAACATAGCCGTGGTTTTTACGTTGCATGTGTAGTTTTTGGCATAACTTGGACTCCCGACAGTAGCTGTAGTGTTTTTGATTCCCATTCATGAAAACGTAGCATAAAGCAGAGTTTCCATACAATCGCTACACTGTTGTACCATGGACCTATTAATAAATAGGTCCATGGTTTTACTGCGTAGCAGACCCCGACGCAATCGGGAAGGCTCCCTGATTCGACCGACCAATCAGCATCACCGAAAACTGTCGGCAATAACGTGTGCGATTGTATGGAAACCAAGCTTAATGACATAGCATAATTTAAAATTGATAGTATGGCCTAATTTCGTTACAATTAAGAAAATAATATTGCGTAAAAGTTATGAGAGTGCATGAGGTGCCTATTCTTACACTTTTCTTACCACTGCGCAGATCACTTTATTTTCTTGTGCTGGACATGATACTGTATAAAGAACACTTACCAACAAAAAAGCAGAAGTCTAACAAAAAAATATTGCGAATTGGAATGTTTAATGAGAAATTTTACACATGGGCAACAATATAAATCTAACAGTACTCAAAAAAATGTGGAACATAATAGCAAAGGTAGAATTGGTGAAAAGGCCAATTTAAAATAACAATGAACAAATCTTAAGATACATCCCCAACACCGAAAGGGTTGCACAAATGCAAAATTAATTGCCATTAGGTTGCTCCCTCAGTTTGTTAGGGTACAAGACAAGACTGATTAATTTAAATTTAATGTATAGCAATTTAAACATAAAATTTAAGTAAATCAATTAAAAACATGAATTTAAAAACTACGCCATAGTAACACAAAAGAACATTCTAATTTAACAATAACATTTCATGCATTTAACAGTGAATTTCAAGTACGGTAATATAAATGTAATTATAGCAAAAACAGATTTATTACTAGCGAATAACTGAAACCAATGTCAATAGTTTTTTTTAAATTCAGCAAGACCCTATTGAAATACAATTAAATTCAAGTGATAACGATGACGAATTAATGACAAATTTGCAAGTAGATTAACAGAATTTTATGTTCAACTAGTATCCAAGTCAATCGACAATAAGCAAATATGTCTTTATATGTAAAGTGTCGATAATGTTCAAATACCCTAATTCAGCATTTGTTGCTAATGTATTTTTAGTGTGAAGTGATTAATAAAGAAACAGATATACAAAAAAATATAGACAAGCTGCTTATTTATTTATTATATTATTGCTTTCTTTAATTTCAAACAGAACAAAACAGTTTATTTTAGTAGGCCTATGTATATTAGCCATTTTCTGTGCATTCCCAATAATCCACCAGCTAATATTATTCAATATTTATTTTTTTAAACAGAATTATGAGAGTGATTTATCTAGGAACAGAATGTTATAATAATGTGGCGGATTTGGAATGTAAACACAATAAATATTTTGTTATTTTTAATAAATATACCAAAAAATATCATCTGATCCACAAAAAAAAATATTGTATTGAGTCTTAATGATGACAAGGGTTCCAGTTCATAATTTATTACTTTAATATTTAAAACAGCTAAACAGCGCCACTAACGAGCATAGATTTCATTTAAGCTCACTTGCTTTCCTCACAAAAAGAGACTCAACAACATCGACAACGACGACGACTACAGCTTCGCTCCTTTGGGGAGGCTAATAAAGCCTAGCGACCATTTCTCAATAAATATTCTGATAAAAACACTGTGATACTTGCCCAATAAATATATAAACTTATTATTATTATTGTTAAAAATATTAGTATACACTTTCAGAATTGTCGATAAACCTAAAAAAAAACACCTTACATTTGACAGTTAATATTAAAATTCAGTTGACAATGTTAAGTAAAGCATTCTTTATGAAGGTTAATTGAAGTACAATAAGACTTAACAAGTAGTATTCAACTAACACATAGATGGTTTCCTTATGTAAAGGGTTATCTAAGAAAAAAAAAACCAGCTTAAATAAATGACAAAAACAGTGTTCATAGCTCATCGTGGCTGCCGTGAATAGGATTTTTATTGATGTCATAACTTGGTTCATCTAGTAAACGTGCTACATCCTTAAACATCTCAACATCTGCATCAAGAATTTGTTTGCGATTGATAAAGCCTCGGTTCCGCTTATCAAAAATTTTGAAGGCCTGCAAGGAAAGCATGCAATTGTTGAACATATGAACAATTGTAATGTTGACTATAAACCAGGCTTAATGAGGATTTCCTAAACATATATTACAACAGCCAACCATCCAAACACCAAGACAAATGATAAAATTCCACACATTTGTTTAGTATAATGTATTTTTCACTTTTATGATATCATTTATTTAAACAAAAAAATAAAAAACATGGCATATATATATCTGTCTCTTATACACATCTAATCTTAAGATACATCCCCAACACCGAAAGGGTTGCACAAATGCAAAATTAATTGCCATTAGGTTGCCCCCTCAGTTTGTTAGGGTACAAGACAAGACTGATTAATTTAAATTTAATGTATAGCAATTTAAACATAAAATTTAAGTAAATCAATTAAAAACATGAATTTAAAAACTACGCCATAGTAACACAAAAGAACATTCTAATTTAACAATAACATTTCATGCATTTAACAGTGAATTTCAAGTACGGTAATATAAATGTAATTATAGCAAAAACAGATTTATTACTAGCCAATAACTGAAACCAATGTCAATAGTTTTTTTTAAATTCAGCAAGACCCTATTGAAATACAATTAAATTGGTTTGTTGAAGATCTTTGGGTTCTTAAATTTATTTATTGCCACTGAAGCCCATGAGATTATGTTTAGAAATGAGTGATTGTAATTGGTTGCTTTGTTTACATTCCGATGGCTATAATGTCATCAGCTAAAGCCATTTTTGAGGACTCTCTTTATGGAGCTGCTAACAGCTCCCTCTTGACCCTTTCAGCTAACGGGAACTTTTGCCTCATGACAAGTGTAGTGCTGGTAACATAACACAATGTTATTTGTATGTTATCGTCTATGTGTATCTTACCCAAACTGCCACCTGTTAAGTCTGTGGTTCTACAATTTATAACAAACAAGCAATAAACGCTAGAATGTTAACCCAGATTTTGAGGAGTATATTTGTATCTACCGCCCGCAGCAAACACTCAGTGGGACAAGTATACTAGTCTGTGGCAGCAAACGGATAAGTACCTCTGATATTAACAACATCTTATTACTCCTATAGCTTCACTGCCCGACGAAGATCCACTGATAGTGGAGCAAAGCATAGCAGTATGTACAGTTTTGCTTGTTTTTACTATTAAGAATACTACAACCATTATTATCAGACTAGTATGGCTCATCCATTTTTACCTCTGATCTATGTGAATCTATGCACAAGAGCACACTAAAGTGAGCAGATTTGATTATCGATTTAACATGTGATGTGAGCTTTCAACCCTAATGAGTAAATAGAGATTGTTAGACCTTTACCACATATGCTGATGACATTATAGCCATCGGAATGTAAACAAAGCAACCAATTACAATCACTCATTTCTAAACATAATCTCATGGGCTTCAGTGGCAATAAATAAATTTAAGAACCCAAAGATCTTCAACAAACCAGCAAGGTTTATTACCCGAGATTTTTTTCAAGAACTCGGGTGCTATAGACCCACCAATCAAGTGGGGCAAATGCTTGTCAGTGGATGATGGTTAAAGGCACAAGAACCATCAATGGGGAAACACTCCTAAAAATTATCATATTCATTGTAATTATTAATGTGTTATTGCAGGACACTGAATGACTAGTGATTGATGTCTGCAAATAATATGTTCATGATCAAATATTTTATAACAAAAATGCCACCTGGTCTGTTGCCACCTGGTTCTCTACCACCTGGTCTGTGGCCACTCAAGCCCATTACCACCATAGTCCTGTTAAACCAACCGCCAAAAGAATGGATGGCAACAGCAGGGTGGTAAAAGGCTGGCTGGTAGTTAACCAGGTGGCAACGGGCCAGAACCCAGAACTAATGAAATCAATTTGTGAATTACCTTGTCACCTTTCTTGTAGGTCCAAAACACAGGAACTTGATCAAGTGAAGTGTATGGAAAATCATCGCTACAGTCACTATCATTAAAATTTGGTTCAGTGGTGAATAAGATGGCGTAAGACATACTGCGACCATAAGACCGCACTTGATGAAAATAGCCTGATCGAGAAATAGTATTAATCAAATCATTAATTTAATAATATACCATTTATGAAACAACGTATTATTAGAAATTAAATTATAATAATTCAAGTTTAAGATATTGTATTATAATAATTGTTTTGAAAACATATTTCATAGGGACCAGGTTGTTCAGAAGACAACAACAATAAAATATAATATGATATTTATAAACTTAAAGAAGATTGATATTAAAAGTTGATGAACATATTTTTGCTATTATTGCTTTCAGTGTTTTGATTGGTTTAATGTATTTTAAATATGATATTCAAATGTTATTAAGATTATAGCAATTCTGTTTTCCTTGTAAGTGAACATAATTCAATGGCATATCCAGGATTTCAAAAAAAGGAAGGGGAGGGGTGTTGAGTACTAGTTAAAATGAAGAATTGGACTCAGTAGGCACAAAGTTATAATAAAATGAAAATTAAAAAACAAGAATTTTGCTCAAATAGTGGGACTTTTTACGAAAAATTTAAGCCTGTTAATACCTAGTTTTCCATTTATTTGTTTGTGAATAATTGTTCTGTTTGAACAAAGAAGGGGAGCTCAGTCTCCTTAAGCGCCCTACCCCACTCTGGCTACGCCACTGTAATTTGAAACAGCAAGAGTTTACCTGAAGGGATAAAAACACAGTCTCCTGGCCAAATGGTGGTCCAGGTCCAAGGTACCTTAGCAAAGCCGCTATACTTGAACATGTTGATCATCTCAACATCAATCACTGAGTAACCAGATCCGGCATCAGGTGACTACAAGAAACCAATGAAAAAATTAAGCTCTGAAATATTCAACAACATTTATCATATTTGATGGTATCTGTTACTGCTATGATTTAAGTTTGGACATTAAATGTTATCATTGAAACTGACCATTAAATTTAGGAGTGCTTATTCAAACAGGGCGCTTACGAATATTTTTAAGTTAGGAAGGGCGCTTATTCAAGAGGGGAACTTATTCAAATGGGGCGCTTATTCGCACGAATACGGTAATAGCAACATCATTAGCACCACCTATGTTTAGTGGTGCATCCATGGTGTGGCAAAAAAGGCTTGGGAAGGCAATAGCCTAGAAGTACTGCAGGCCTCATAGCATGAATAACAATTTCAATGCAATGTACTTGTTGGTCATACAGCACAGAAGTTGGAGATTGGGATTATATAAGGGGTGATAATATTTTTTATGAAAATTACTCCAAGTATTGGCTAATATTCAGGGTAGAATACTGAAGTACTATGGTATAGAAATATTATCTATATGGTGTAAGGAATCATTAAACATTTTGTTAATTCAAGGAGTGGAGATGTAGTTTGGTGGGTCATACGAAGCCATAAAAACTCTTCCCATGACATAGGTGGATACAAGGGGGGGCCCAACTGGCCCAGGCCCCCTGAATTTTCCAAAAAAAAAAAAAAAAAAAAAAAAAAAAAAATCAGAAAAAATAAAAATATATTCAAATTTAAGTATAAAGAATGCATTTTCCGGGCCATCTAGAGGTGCCATAATCAAAATTGTTCTTACCTCAGCCTCAACATTATTGGGGCTGAGGTAACATAGACCCATCATCTGTGAAAGTCCCTCTCTGGGCCCGCTCTGTTTAAAATTCCAGGATCCGCCACTGCATGAACACTACCAGGAATTTTTTATACTGGGTCTTGATTGAGACCTTAGTCGACCCTTTGGTTTGGACCCCACTGCTGTCGGACATGCCAGACCTCTTATCCAAGCTAATTTTTGGAGCCACTGCTGGTCGTGGTTTCAAATCCTGCGAGTGCACAAGATTTTTTCTCATGATTAAAAAAAAGAAAAAAAATATCCACTCCCCTAAATAACGTAATGAGACTCAAATTATCTCATTTATTTAAGACTAGGGCCCCTGAATACCGGCCGACTTCCTAGGATACGCTGAAAGGATCACCCTCCATAAATATAGTTAAATAACAGTACTATTTTATATACATCAGTAAAGTTGTCAAGTTTGAATTACCTTATCTGCCATTTCCAGGAACTTTGAATATTTTGGGTGAATGAAGATGAAATCTTTACGTCCGTCTAGCAAGCAATGAATGTTATGATCAGCATCGTAATGTAGCACCGATGAAGTCCCTCCACTGCTCATCCAGAAGTTGCTCTCTTGTATCAACTTCTTGAATGAGCCGCACAAAAGACACTGTGGCACCTGAAATTAGTAATTAAAAAAATTAAATTAAATAATTACTAAGAAAAAGGGCTTTGTAGGTTCATTCCTGAAGACGACCTAATAAAGTTTGCAACTATGATTCATGGATTCCCTCTCATTATTCAGAGTAAATTCATTATATAAATATACTCAGTGCGACTGGCGGTTTACATTTGCAGATCCAGGAATTCAAAATGGAGGGAGCCCGGGGACATACTTTCAGAGATGGAGGACACCTCTATTATTATTGCACTCTCAGACTTAAAATTTGAATATATTTTTCTTATATCACTATTTAATTAAAATCTTTAACAATTTAGGGGGGTCCGGGCTGGCTGGACACACCTTGAATTGGCCACTGGTTTAAGTAAGATACAGTATAGGATTAGCAAGGTTATTCAGTTAAATTATGTCATTTGAATTTGTAGATATGTGTTCACCACACTCTAACATTACTACAAAAAATATGACCTTAAGAAATCTATAAATGTAGAGGCAGGCAAGCTTTTGCCACATACCCCTCTGGGCTCTATCCAGATTTGGCCTCCATTCACGTTTTTGGTCAGTGTGCCCTAAATGGGGGTATCCCTATTTACAGGACACATTAAGGGGATAATTTTTATGGTTGCTAAAGTGTCCTCCTAATAGGGGTTCTACAGAATAATGTAAAATTGTTAGCTGGGTTAGAATTGACCCGTGGTGAAAGATCAGGCCTAGTGTTTTAAAGATAATTAAATGTGCTTTTTGATATGACAGCCAGTGAAGCTCACACAAGTACTGTACATGGATAATATTGGAATAATTTGAAGTTGAAGAGCACACACGAGCAGCACTACCTTGACATGAGGTCTCATCTCATCTGGAAGGACGGTTACAGCATACCAATCCTCACGCTTGTATCCCCTCAAAAAATCTTTAAATGATATAATGTTTCGTTGAGTTTTGGCTCGGTTTTCTTTTTTTACTTCAATTAAAAGTTTCAGGTCCCCAAAACTGAAGAAACAATTATGGAAAAAAATATATTTATAAAATAAAAGATACAGCATGTATAATAATAATATACATACAATATCAATGTATACATTCCTATATATAATAAAAATATGAATCATAAATTATATGTGTACATAAAAATGCAAATATATAATTATCAATAACAGTTTTATACTGTAGATTTAAAAGGTAAAAGTGTATGTGTATGGATATAAAATATATATGTATATACATGCACCATTTATATATACCAGATATACACAGTATATCATTTATAATATATACATTTTACAATTTTTACATCTTGCTGGTGAAGGAAAATTATAGCACATAACAAGACATTGGAGTTTATCTCTTTAATGCACCATGTTTGGTTTGAAAACTACCATTTTGGAGATCGGTCTTGTGTTCTAATAATTAGGATGAGGGCGTATCATACTAACTTCTGATATTTGCAGTGCAAATAACTTTAATGCTACCTGAAGTTAGATTTAAATGAACATTAGAACAAGAACAAGCATACAAATAATATAACTTTGCAATTAAATCAATGTTAAAGACATGTTTGATTAACTTTTTGAGCAAGACATGTTTTTACTCACTTTTCCTCAAGATAATTGTCACTCCATTTTTCAAAAGCCAAAGCATCTTTGACAGCACCTCGGAGTACCAATGGCTTTTTTTTTGTGACATGGAGACTGGAAAAATCTTTAGGATGAGGTACATCAGTCACCTCCTTTACCTTTCCTTCTGGCTTACGTTGGAAACCTTTAAAATACAGAATTTTTAATTAAAAATAAATAACAATGTGGGTGCTAATTTATCGTACTGACGTTGTTCTATATTTGGTAATGGTGGCATACTTCACTCATCACCATCAGGCGCGGATCCAATGGGGAAGAGCATTGGGCGAAATGTTTTCCACCGTTTCGGCACTAAGTTTTTAAATTTCAGTGCATATCAATTTTATGTATTGACATAAGAAAAGATAATACAAAAATCCGCCCCATCTCCCCCACCAATTTGAAAAATTCTGGATCCGCCCCAGGTAATTATCAGTAACTTAAACAATTTTTTTCACAGACGAAGCCAAGCCTCCCCATATGATCATTAACTTCCCCCAACATGGCCTGGGGCCCTGCCTAACCCCTCCCAAAGTACTGTACATTTATAATAATGATTGATATCGTCTCAACAACTGAAACTGTGCAAGATTCTCTTGTGCAGTTTTGTCCGTGGAAATAAGTTGATCACTGAATAAATGCATGAGCTGGCTAGGTACAGTAGGCCTATACAGTAGTTAGTGTACTGGTACTGGTATGGGCATTTATATTGCACCTTATTCTTGTAATTATATAAGCGGACACCAAATCTCATAGTTCAGGTAAGCAGCATGTAAAGCAGTACAGATTTAAACAGAAATCACTGTATTGTCAAAACAGTTAACAAAAGCAAAACACAACATGTACTACACACAAAAATCAGAAAACAATAACTGGAAGTACAATATGCAAACAGGTATAAGTCTTGAGTGCATGTTTGAAAATATTGGGATCATTGTTAGAATATTCTTACAATAAATCTTACCTAAAGGTCGTAGATGACCATCCGGTACACCAGTTCCAGACCTACTGTTGGACCTGAATGGTGGAGGAAATTTCACATCCATTCTCATGTCTTTTGGAAAAGGAACTTGACACTCTGCCATCAAAAAAAGTAAACTGAAGATGCCGAATACAGGCATTGCACAGCTTTTTACATCCATAACGAAAATATAAAATAATGATTCTCAAAATCAAAAAATGTTTCTTATACACGCCTGGACGCGAAGAACATAAGAGATGAAACCGTTCTCTTTCAACCTAGCAGTTTAAAATATTCAGGAAGGGTTTTGTACAAATTTCCATCAGTTCTGTTTCACCTGTTGATATTCTCGCCTGAAATTAACTGAGAAAATGACACGACAGCCTAACGAATTACCCTGCCACGTGTATACAATGCTTTGGTGACATCTCACAAATATTTCCTAGATCAATAATAAATTAGCTATTCTCATCTGTTCATTAATAGCATGCTATTCTTCTAGGGCTAGGCCAGGACCAATGAGCTAGCAAAGCCCGCTGTCCTACCAGGTTAAGCTTCCAATCACTGAACTCACAGCTGTCGTCAGTACGTAAAGTACGTATGCCTAATCGATACAAAACAATCAATGGACTATTCTATGAAGTTAAAATGTTGATACCAACGTTACACTGACAATAATCGTGTTGCCGGTACATGTACCCATGCTGTATCTACAATTCAACTGGCCTAATTCTAGCAGGAAATGGAAGACCAGAAGTTCACAACATTCAACTCCGACCAAATCTCGTTAATCTCTTGTTGTTGCCCGTAACGCTTCACTGGTTCTCAACAATAACAAAATGCACTGAAAAACAACCTGATTGCAGGGCCTACTACGATGACGTAATATAAGTATAAAGACCATTATCGCCGCAGTGGATATTTAAAGCTAAACATTCCCCTTCCCCACTCGGACAATGGGACTCCGTTGTCGGAATAAAAATATTCATTTGCCAATAAAAACAAAGTTATAGTGACTGTCTTGAGGTCAAAACACAATTTGGGCCATCCTCACGAGGGATTTTATTTTTATTTGTTTTTTCTCCATTTGTTTTTATTATTATATCACATCAAAACATCGCATACAGAAAACGTTTCAAACATAGCATAATAAAGAAATTATAATTAATTAAATATAAATAAAAAAAACAATGGGAAAATTCATTCCATAAAAAACAACAATTCACATTCTAAAAGTGAATAGAAAATTATAATAAGTGGCAATGCTTACAACAGGCTTATTAAAATCAAGATCAAGAACATTCCACTTCCTTTTCCAATTATCAAGTTTTTCTTTAGATATAGCTATGAACAGCTCAACCGATTTTTCAAATTAGTTTGTTTTTAAAGTTAACAATGTTGGGTATTTTTTGCGACACCTACATGAATATATAAAATACTTAGCATGCAGAATAACAGGATTAAAATGCCTATTTTCAACATCATTAATTCCCAGACAAATATTTTGTAAAGATAAAACCAACTGATTTTTGCAAATAATACTTTTAACATCATACCAAAATCCAGTTGTAAGGTAAGATGTGTATAAGAGACAGCAAGCATACAAGGCTATCATTTTTTTTCTTTTTCTCTCTTTTTTTCTTTTTTTTTTCTTTTTTTTACGTCCCAAAAGGGGGGGCCGGGGCCGGGCCGGCCCCCCCCCTAAATCCGCCCCTGGGCAAACTACTAAAAAGATGGTTGGGTACTACCGTTGGCCCAACGTTGGCTAGAGGTTGTAAATATTAGAATGTGATAACAGACGTTGTCGCAACGACGTTGGTTAGAGGTTGTAAATATTAGATCTAATTAAAGACGTTGTCGCAAAGTCATAGAACTTTGTTGGCCCGACGTCGGTAAACGTTTGAAATAGACGTTGGTTACCACCGTTGGGCCGACGTTGGCCAGAGAGGTTGTAAATATTAAATGTGATTACAGACCTTGTCCCAACGTCACAGTTCGCTGTTGGCCCGACGTCGTTTATTTTTATTTTTTTTAAGGTCGTGGGTTCGATTCCCACACGAGCCATTTTTTTTTTTTTTTTTTTTTTTTTTTTTTAAGGCAGTTTATTTGATGGTAGATAATGAATAGCAACATGGAGGTTGTGTGTTCGATTCCCACACGAACCACATGAACCTAGGCCGTCATGGTCGCCCAATTGGCTCATGTGTAATTCATGTTGAGCCAACTGCAGACGAAAAGGTTACAATTTAATTTTTACAGAGAAAAGCTGGAAGAAAGTTTTAGACAGTGCCCATCAATGGAAGGATTTTAATACTGAGGAATGGAAGTTAGCGAAGTCCTTGGCTTGCTTAACCGTTTTTCTTCAATCGTCGCTTCCAACCGTCTAGGCGCATCTAGCCTAAAGAGGGCCTACATAGCAGGTCGAGATCCATGAAAAGTCGTATATAAAGATTTGGGTTACCCACATCTTTATATTTGCACAAGTAATTAAAATTGTTTATTAAGCAGATTAATCAAACTGATAAACAATTGTACTACATTCGGTGGATGCATGTCTACGCCCCGGTCTACGCATGTCCGACAGGGGGTACAAACCAAGGGGTCGTTTAGAGCCGGGGAATAAAAATCCCCAGTAGGGGTAATGGGTAAGTGTTTTATAGCTTAGTATGGCCAATGGCGTATGTAGTCTTGAAATGGGGGTGCTGATCAGGGCCGGCGGAACGTTTTTCAAAGTGGTGGAGGGGGCACTTATAAGATGAATGGGAATATGAATGATGCCGATCTGGAAGAACCTAGGGGATGGGGGGTCAACATGTTTCCCAAAAATGAAAGGGGATCCAGGGGTTCTCCCCCGGGAAAATTTTGATTTCTAGATGGCAGGAAATTACCTTTCTCGACTTTTGAGGTTTCTAATGATTTTGTTCTTCAAAATTCAAGGTTTCCCCCTCTTGAAAACGGTCAGGTAAACTTTCTCATCATCTTATTACAGTAAATAGGCCTGTTATGTGTGTATACATATATAAAAAAAATAGTTGTTGCATACGTATTCTTTTTTTCAATGAATCGATAAGCTCCAAAGAAAAGGAGCGGGGGTCCCGGGGTTCTCCCCCGGAAAATTTCTGAACCCCAGATGGCGGGAAATGAGTTTTTCAGACTTCTGAGGTATCTTAATTACTTTTAAGTAAATTTCAAGGTTTTCCCCTCTTGAAAACGGTCAGGTAATTTTAAAGCAATTCATCCTGATTACTTTGATTATTACAGGTTTCAACCAGATTAGATGTATTCCATAAAGTGGGAACAGCACAGACCACCGAATAATACTCTACAAAATGACAATTTATGCCAAATTTATCGAGAAACTCGGTATGCGAGATAATTGTCTAAGGACGAGGGATTTTATGCTGCCCCGGACCCCTGACCTTTTTCGGCCATGTTTGATCCCTGTCCGAAATTATCTGCTTTTGTAATTTTCTAATAAACTATGTTTCAATGAATACAAATTACATTACTTTGTTTGCTGGTTTGATTTATTGTCAATTTTTATCTTAGGCTACATCCACCAGCGTTTTGATTGTGCAAGAATTGTAGCAACTTTAGTTATAGGCATGAATGTAGAAGGACCGAAGTTTTTAATTTATAGTTTAAACATAGACCATGGAGGAAATAAAACTATTTCCTCCATGCATAGACCTACTTCAGGTGTTACCATGAAGGAAATCATGTTTTTCTTCCATGAATTAACGTACTTTTCACATAATGAAACATCACCAAAGAACTGACAACCGAACCGCTGCTCGAGTGTTTTATTACCAAGCACCAGCAGTAGGCCTTATTATCGTATTGATTAAAGTTTCTATTTTGTTCTTAACCATACTAAATACATGACATTTTGTCAAATTACAACATAACAGGAGAATATTATTAATCATAAGCCCCAGTCCGAAATTTTGATTGTTTTCGTCCAAGCTTAACCATTCGAAAGATCTGGTCGACGAATCGCATTTCGATAATCAGTGGCGGATTCAGAAATTCGAAATAGAGGGCTCCCAGAGATTCTACACCACTCAGCCCCACCATGGTTGTCACTGAGGGTAGGAAATTTATGATTTAAAATGGCACTTCTAGATAACCGGAAATCGCCTCTCGGACCTAAATGCTTAGCCTGATTACTAGCTGCAATACAGTATTATGGAATAATAATATAATTTAATTTAATAATTTAATTTGGTGTTCAGTATGTTTCCCATCTGTGTTTGATCTAGTTGTTATTATTATTATTATTATTAGCCCATCTAGTTTTCAATTAAATAAATTATATATACACACTGTTCTTGGTATTCGCCGTCGTAATAATTTATGTACGAAAGTCCGTTCTTCAGGTTTATCGGTTCATTGATCCATGGAAGAATGTACATATCCAACTATACTCAATGTTGTTGGAATATAATAATATATTGCCTGTCTTTGATTTTTTTTTCCCTCTATAATAGGAGAAAAAAAAGAAAAAATAAATAAATAAAAGAAATAAAAATAAATAAAGAATGAGATAAAATTACCTGACCTTTTCTCAAGAGGGGGAAAACCTTGAATTTTTAAGAACTTAAAGATATTATTAGACTCCATAGAAGTCGGGAAAGCTCATTTCCGGCCATCTGGGAATCAACATTTGACCCCAGTACCCCCATTTAATTTTTTTTTTTTTTTTTTTTAAACATTTTGAAACCCCCTCTTTTAAATCCAAGATGCCATATTTTATTAAATGTATGCCTATCCAAACACACCCAACGCACGATCCAATGCTGTTGTCAGGATTTTTCCAACAGTGCGAGACAATATCGGGGTGGACCCACTTTACGTGTAAATTCAAATAATCTACTAATATGTACAAAACATATAATTGTTATTTTTTTTTCTCTCCGACGAATTGTGGTTTTCTAAACGACGGGCGGCCACCCCTACTACGAATACCCAGTTAAAATGTTTGTTCTCTTCTAGAATTTACCCCAAGTATCCGTTTCGATCCATTCCGTAAAAATGGTACTGGATTGGTGAAGTTTGATCTACAGGAGCTCGTGCTTTGTCAGGTCATTCTATTCAGAGTAAAAGCCTTTCATGGTGAAAGCGTACCTGTCATGACCCAAGAAATATTTTTAGCAAGGTATAACTAAAAATGTTATTGTTTAAAATGAAATATTTTTACATTTATTATCCTATAAATGAGTATACATATTAAAAACCATTTCATGATTATACAATTCACAGTATAAAAAAAATGATAAATTGACGTACTTTTTAGCCATATTTCACCATACAAAGTGTGACAAGACAAAAATGTATAAAATTGGAAGCAGTAGGCCGTATATTTTGTTAAATTGTATTATACGGATGGAGCTCATTATTTCTATAAGGAATATATTGGAAACTAATAAGATAAAACACTAGAAAGAAAAATAAAACCCTTTTTATTTAAAAAAATATGCAACTTGATGGTTTGTGTAAAACGGGTGTAACATTTGTATGTCAAAAAATTTAGGAAGTTCAAAATGGCCCAATATTTCTAAAAAGAAATATATGTGTTATTTTTAAATGTTTATCAAATTGGTGAATATGTACAGTAAGAAAATATTTTTAGAAATTAGTGATGATGCATTTTATTTTTGGTGCATCCACAATGGAAAGTCACTGACCCAAACTTATGTCAAGAATGTGTTCGTCCATTACAAGGGAATAGGATTTGTAGTGTATTAAAATACAAACATGCATATTTCTTTTGGAAAGAGAATATAATTATCTTTAATCACACCCTTTTTCTAAAACATTGATATCATATCTCTTGTTCCACAGAGTTTGGCCTAAATCCATTATTTATATTTACTGTAATGTTTACATCTGTTTCAAATAATCTTATCTATTAGTTGTATATAAATGTAATATAGTGTATGACATCAGGTAACAGTTAAATATAACATGAAATGTTTTGTATTGTAAGAATGTTTAATGTGAACTATTGAATATATAGTAGGTTAGAGGCCTATAATGATAAAATATAATGAATGCTGAACATCTTAGTTTTCCATCTGGAAACAGTTTTTATTAGAACAATTATTCAAAATTTTTATCTAAAAAAAAATTAATAAAATAAAAGTTAAAATAATTATTACTATTTGACTAATTCACCTTAAAACTTATTCGGCACACACCAAATCTTCATTTTATATATACCGTATATAGACAAAGATAAGATTTCCACTTTAATTTTGACATAGGTCTGTTTGTCTATTGAATTATTTTTAATTTGAATATTGATATTCTTCTTTGTGTTTATTCAAAATTATACATTCCAGTATCTTTTTACATAATGCCCTGTATATTTACTCATTTTTAATTGTTTTCTTTGCTGTATATGCTATTTGTGAAGTTTGGTTTACATAGTACGTTTCACAGTTAATTGACTCACTTTCATTTTTCACACACAGATTCATAACAATAAGGCTATCGTGTACATTATAATTTCGTCCTTTAATTTAACAAATTACTTATTTACATTTGCACTTATTAAGGCTGTTAACTTATTCAACTTTATTTAAACAAGACTTTCAATACTGATACACAACTTGCACCCTATTTGCATGAAACAAAAATGTTACACATAATAATATGTACATAGGCTATGTTCTCACACGGCTGCTAATGGTTAGCAGGATCCGGATCCTGCTAACCGTGCGTCAATACGAGAAAATCCCGATCCGGATACAAAAAATATGATGATCGAAACACTGGCCAATAAGAAACTGGAAATTGTAAGCGCGTACGTGTGATTGGTTGATGATAGAAACATGTTCAACTTGCTAACCGATAGCGCTTGCAAACCGTTAGCGGTATCCGGATACAGCTAAGGGTTAGCGCTAACCGATCAAGCGTTCTCATGCAGGTGTTAACGGTTAGCTCCTGCTCCGGATACTAGGTCTCCTGTGAGAACCAGGCTTAAAAGTTACACAGATATTCTGACATGTTCTTACTAAAATTTAATACCATCATCTTCACAAAAACATGCTAAGAGTTGGAACAATTAATACGGAGAAAGTGAAAATAGGCACAATGTCACAATGAGAGGTGAACCTTTATGCTGGACAGCAAACCATGAAATACCAGGTCAGGGCCCCAGTGGGGGATAGTTTTCTACAATTGAATTTTAGTTTTTTAGTTAAGTATTTAAGCCTAATACCTTATTATTCAATTCACTCCAGCACCGAATCCCTGAGTCAGAAATACCGGGATGGTGTCCGGCGGGGGATAGTGTTCTTTTACCATAAAATTTGAGTTTTTAGTTAAGTACTGTTAAGCCTAATATTCAATTCACTCCGGCCCCGAAACTCAGACTCAGAAATACCAGGATGGTGTGAGGTGGAGGATAGTTCTTACCTTGCATATTAGTTTAAACATTGGGAATATATATATTTTCTATATATATATGTTCTAAGCCATTACAATAAAAGCATCAAATTTCAAGACAAACACTTAATTCACATAATACCAGGATGGTGTTTGGCAAGGGATAGTTTTTACCTAATATTGTTATCTTGTAATTATTTCTGTTATTATACATATATATAAGAGGACATTACAATGTATTTCAATGTAAAATGAATTTTAAAATCTTTACAAAAATTACGGTACAGTAATTATTATACAAAATTTCTCTACTATTACTTCAGAATTAAGTACAGCACTGATATCAGTTATAGAGATGACTTTGCTAAGCGTTCAGGATCAAGATGTATGTTAGAACCTTGGATGATTTCATTAACAGCTCCGTCAACGAAAATCTTGTCTAGTTCTGCGTCATACTCGATACCTAATAAAGATAATTAAATGATAATATTTATAAAAACAACCAGCTTGGCCAGGTCTGTTTATACTCTATTAAGACTACACTCCGTTGCGATCGATTGCGATGTAATTGGTGGTAATCCGAAACTGATTACTCCTGATCACAATCAACGAGCACATTCAGACCAACACAAAAATCTTATGGCCTAGAGCTCCGGTGGATAGGCCTATGTTGACTGACTTCAGCCAAACAGTGCCTGTAGAATTTGTTGCAATCGGATTCCGTGGTAATCGTGAGTAATAAAGATCGCAACGGGTACTATAGCGATATCGATTATTAGTGCGAATGGGTGTTGCAATTGCTACAACCGACCACAATGCGACGCTAATCTGCATAGGGTTTTAGACTGGAGAAGGCCAATACAAATACAGTACAGTACTTGTTCAATACAGGTGCAAAATAATAATATGTAGGTATGTTAATAAGTTAGAGAATATAATAAATAATAGCTATAATAAAATTTTAACAAAGGTAGGCCTATTAATGTAAACACACTCCTGAGCAACAGATGTGTTTATTACTGTATGTAGATACCATCATAAATATTTTTAAATCAAACAACAGTAAATCAGAATTGTAAAGTAGTGTAGTCGTAGATTTGTAGATTTTTGCCTTCCAGTCACAGGGTACATTCTATTTTAATATTATATCTTATTTTTATTTGAGCATATTTAACAGTGGAACTATACAAATTAAATGATGACAGAAAATAAATTCATATCCCAAATTTTCAAATAATAAAAATAATAAAAATTATAGGTTATTGAAATAAATTTATTACCAGGGTTAAAATTTTAAATATTAGGAATTTTCTCACTACTTCCTAAGCATTCTTATGAGGATTTTTTAAAGCATAAAACAGTAATTTGATAACTGAAGATGTTTTACCAGAATAAAAAATATTTAAATTTAATTATATTATAAGTACAACAAAAACCAATACCCAACATGTTACATTTATATCTCAAAAATTATTATCAACAAAAAATTCCCAAACAAAAATAAGAAATAAATTTAAATAATTTATTTGTATTATAATTACAATAAAATTACCCAACAAGTTACTTTTATATCTCAAATATTATCAACCAAAATTCCCAGAATAAAAAAGAAATAAATTTAAATAATATTTAAAACTTATTTATATTAATAGAATTAGAAAAAAACAGAAAGAAAATTACTCTACCCAATTGTCTTGAAAGAAATGCAATTAGGGCATCATTATTGTAGTTCATTGCAACATAAGGATTGGTTTCAGCTTGCAGCTTGGCATATTTACCAATGAAAGAATTTGTCAGGAACGGGAAGTCACCCTGACTTTGATGGACGGTTCCACTATTTAAAAAAATAACAACAAATGCAAATTTTTGGTAATATAATGCAAGTATAGGTGTAATATTGCCCTACCTGATGTGGAAATGTAGTTATTGTCTATTGTTCCATCACGACAATAACAATTACTATCAACACTGCAGTACCCGCTGCTTACTTGGACTCGAATTCAACCCTGGCCATCAGGCGCAAGCTCGGTGGTCTAGAGGTATGATGCCAGGCTAGTGATCTGGAGATCGTGGGTTCGAGTCCCACCCGAGAACAACTTGCGATTATTTTCGCAATTGTTTTCAAATGTACTGAGTATTCGGTACATTTCCACGTCAGGTAGGGCAAAATTACACCTATACATGCTTCTCCTGACGCAAATCCAGTTATTGTCTATTGTTCCATCACGACAATAACAATTACTATTAACACTGCAGTACCCGCTGCTTACTTAGACTCGAATTCAACCCTGGCCATCAGGCGCAAGCTCGGTGGTCTAGAGGTATGATGCCAGGCTAGTGATCTGGTGATCGTGGGTTCGAGTCCCACCCGAGAACAACTTGCGATTATTTTCGCAATTGTTTTCAAATGTACTGAGTATTCGGTACATTTCCACGTCAGGTAGGGCAAAATTACACCTATACATGCTTCTCCTGACGCAAATCCAGTTATTGTTTATTGTTCCATCACGACAATAACAATTACTATCAATATAATGCAAATTAAAATATTTGCAAAAAAAAAATGTTATAGGCAGGATTAATTCCTACATTTTTTCAAAATAAATAAAAAATTAAACAAATAAAAGAAAATTTTATCCAACATTTTAGTCCGAGAGTGCCTTTTTTCGGCCATCTAGACATAGATATAAAATTTTACATTCCAGCCCCAACCACTGCTAAAATGATCTGGACTATCCATCTGCAAAATTGACTTTTTGAGCACCGCTATTTCAAATTTCTTGATCTGCCACTTCTGTATATTTTTATATTCTATTGGTTCACTGTTGCTATTACTTTCAAAATACAAAATTACTAATTCAGCCACGAATGTAGTTTTGTGACGTAATTTAATAAATTATTACAATCCACTATTTTTCTATAATTTTGGCAAGAGTACAAAACATGCTAGTAGAGGATTGGGATTAACAATATGGCTGAGCAGTTAAGGCAGGGGCCTGCAACCTATATTCATAATATCGATGCTGGTTCGAATGGCACGCTCGCCTATGGCTCTGGAGGTACAGGAAGTCTTCTTGGATAAGGACTATACCATAGGCCCATTACAATTGGCTCATGTGCACTATAAAGAGCCCAGTACACATTTCGAGATGAGTAGGGGGTTACCCCTTTGTACTGATTCATCTCAGAGCCCTTGCCCTAATCCAGATTCTGAACAGGCGTTGACGAGTATCTGCATAGAATTAGAATGTCAACTTTTAAAACAGATTCGTTATTTTATTACTGTATTCTTTCATGGAAAGCGAAAAGGGGTCACAAAAAACCTTGTTTGTACCCTTTTGAAAATAATTTAAAAAAACAAAAAAAACAGATGACCTGTAAATACAGTAAATCGTTATTGTATAGTAGCCACGCTCATAAGCACCTCTCCAAATATGAATTTTATTCCTATGTTCAGTTCACAAACAAAAAATCTGCAAAACATTAATAATATTATGCTACAAACTTAAGAATATTAATAATTAGTAGAGTAGTAATTTCTCTCAAAATACATAAATACTAACACTGGCAGTGTAAAAACATTACCTACCGAATTGTTATCATTTTCCTATCTTCTGTCTGATTGGCTGGATTAACAAGATGGGACATTTTTGCAATGTTCCCTGGCCAATGAAATTTCTCCGTATTTATTAGTAGAAGAGGTTGTTTTACAGTTTTGAGCATTGGTTTCTCTAGAGGGTACATCCATGCATCTAGAGCTACACCAACTCTACATACATAAAATAAGTAAAATGGTTTTAAATATATTTTATCACCTGAGTGTGTGTTTGCAAGTAATAATTATTATTCTAATATTATAAATTTAATTAAAATATTATAATAAATAAACTATAATCAGGGGTTTCATTTATATAAGGTTTAAAGTAGGAGAAGAATGAGTACAGGAGAGTTCAAGGGGGGGTCGGGGGTGTAGCCCCAGTGGGGTATAAAATTAGCCGGCAAAAAGGTGGTAGTAGCCGGTTGAAGACGCTGGCTGCCGGCTAAAACCCCTGATAATTATAATATAACAATAGCTAAACAGACGATAATGATATTAATGATAATGATAATAGTAACAACAATAAGAAGAAAAATAACGAGAAAATGAAATAGAAAACGTTGATGAACAATAACAATTACAATGCACTATTTATATAGTGCATTATATAAACTGCCTCTATGCGCTTTACATTATAACCCCCAGTCACTGGATCAAACACCTACTGTATGGAGTACTGTACATATTCAGCTTGATTGGGGGGGGGGGGCAGGAACTATTCCATAAGTACCAGGTTGGAGAGAGACAATGTAGATATAGGTGTCTTGCCCATTGGACACACGGAAGACTTAAAATCCCTACTTCAAATTTGAAACCCAAACCGGAACCACCGCACGAACTGCTTTCGACAAATAAAAACACCAAATATAGAAGGACGATGCTGTTCCTCTGTATTTGATGAGTGCAACAAAGTTTATTATATCTACAGTGAAGCTGATAACGGTGATTTTTATCACGGTTCGTTGTTAACCAAAAGTAAGCGGCAGTTTGGCGCAGCTGTTGAGGTTCGGTTTTTCAATCGTAAGGTCAGGGTTTTGAGTCTCCGCTGTGCAGATTCCCTTGTGTCCTTGGGCAAGGCACTTTAGCTGCATTGCTTCAGTCCACCCAGCTGTATTAATGGGTACATACCAGCAAACTGTAGGGGACTAACCGGCGATGAACCAGTGTCCCGTCCAGGGAAGGTACAATTCTCATCCACTTCACAAACTGGGAATAAGCTCCAGTCTTATGAGCTCTAGTGGCTCAGAAAGGATTTAGTTTTTTTTCATTGTTAACTTAAAAAAAAAAAAAAAAGAATGCAACTTACTTAAAGCGTGGTTCTTTTTCTAGAGTCTGAATTGTAGTCGCCCCACCAAATGAGTGTCCAGTCATTGACACTTTCTCAAGATCAAGCAAACCCTGATGTGTGACACAGAGAGAAGTGTTAAGCAGGACATAATCGGGGCAAGGGGGCATTTCCACCCAGAAAATTGTCTTGCCCCTCCCCCTCCAGTTTTCCCACTGCCAATCATATCAATCACTATAGTGAAGTTGACGCAGGGTAGTCGCTTATCTGGTAGTACGCTTATCAAAATCAATACAAGCAATGTGGTAATTTTCCTTTATCTTTTGCTCCCCTTAAACTTATACCTTCTCCCACACCCCCCACCCCCCGAATTTCATTTCAGACACTGTTGCCACTACAATATTCTACTTCAAAGTTCGACAAACTTTTAAGGAGTATTCTTGATTCACCCTTTAAAACAGAAGTGTGTGTGTGTGTATATATATATACACACGCTTAGAAGTATCCATAGGGGGAGACTAAAACAATGAAGTGTGTTAAAAACAGTACCTTAAGGCAAAAGTAGTGTCGCTAAGGGGAAACTAAAGCGACGTTAAGGCGAAATCATAGACAAAAGAGTTTCCCCCTAAGAGCCGAATAAAGGTAGTCTCTTATACACATCAGATGTGTATAAGAGACAGCCTAACATCATCATTACTCTAAAGGCATATTCTTTCCCGATCTAAATTGCATTTTAAGTCAGTGGTTACGTCATCATTTTACATTTAATTGACAATAATACCTTAAATTGGGATAAATCAAATTCCTTCCCCAGAAAATTTGTGATTTGTTCTCCTTCATTAATTTTCTCCAATAAATCCAATGCTCTAACACATTCATCAGCTCTCTGATTTACCTGCAAGAAGAGAACACCACTTATAATCATTTTATGTAATTTCTGAAAAAACTGATAAGAACAAAACATTGTTTTCAGCATTTGACAGTCTTGAGATCAATGATCTGTCAAGTAATTGGTTGAAAGCAAATATTTTTGTAACGATGTGTGCTCCAAGTTGATGAGGATGATAAGATAGAAAATTGTGGAAAAAAATAAACCATAATAGTAATCAGTTTAAATAATACCTTTATCAGTATATTTGCATGGGCCTACGGCATGAGAGTCATACCTCAATGTATGTCAATAAGGTTTGCTTATAATTACCGAAAACAGCACTAGCATAAACAATCTAATGTCAGGGTGTCCATACACCAGGAGAGACGGTAGCATTTGCCCGACGAAGAGCCCAATGTCTCCGACAGTTGCGGTCAGGCGTCACTCAGAATATCTCAGAAGTGGTCCAGTGTCACCAGAAACTTTGACAATTTAAGGGATATAAAGGCCTCCTCCCAATTCTCAACACAGTACCCCTCTGCTGCCACCACTTGGCCAGCCTTTAATTAGGTAAAACCAGTTTTAATTTATGTATTTTTACACATAACAGATGAGCAAAGCCAGTGTCATGAGAGTATCATGTCCCATTGCAAAATGTATCTGAAAATGAAATCTGTGATGAACTTTACTAAGAATTTTCAATTATATGATAGTGTAACTAGTAAAATAATATTTATAATCATTCTAAGTTGTTTCCAATGTTAAAACTTGACAGCTTTAATATTCCTTGATATAGGAAATGTGCAGTTTTTAATCAACATTCTCCATTGAATACATTGGAATTTAACATCATATACATTTCTTGGTTTCAGAGTAAAAGCTTTTTAGCTCCGATGAGGAGCTATAGGAGTACCCTGCTGATTGATTAATAAATCTTGTATGGTGGCCGTTAGGGCCACTAGAATCACTCGGCTCATTTAATAGATCTTTTTGTATGGGTGGCCGTTAGGGTCATTAGAATTTTATCGGAGCTTTTGAGATTACAAACACTTGTTTTTCTATGGCTAGCTTACCTGTCTATTTCTAATTTTAAAATCTTCATCTGTCTTGTCTTTCACTCTGAGATAATCAACATACTCTTTCTGATACTCAGGCTCGGCATCGGTTAAGCTGACGTCATTAAGATAGTAACTAGTGCAAGCAGACTGGTCCCTTGAATCGACAAGATAACAATGTTATTTATTAAAGGAATAACATACAAATAAACAGCATGTGATTTTAATTTTGCTCTACAATTAAACACAGTCATTGCTTTTGCCACAGCCATAATTATCATCACCCCCCCCTATCCATATCACCAACAGTATCATTCACATCATCGTAAATCATCATTCCTATATCCAAATCCACCTCATCATCATTCACTTATATCATCCGTATCCTAATCAACATCATCATACTCCTCATTCTCCTCTTCCCAATAATAATAATAATAATAATAATAATAATAATAATAATAATAATGATAATAATAGTAATAATAATTCTGTACTCTGTATAATTCTGTAGTCTGTATCCCCATTATAATGCTTATCAATCATCCATATCAACATCATCCCCATCATTATCATTATCTCCATCAACCTTATATTTATCATCCAGATCATCATTCCCATTGTCCTCCTCATCATTATCATCATCATTTTCACTATCATCCATATCATCATCAATATCCTCCTCTTCGTCGTCATCATTATCATCATCTTAATCATCATTTCTCTAAATCGGACTTAAGGAGAATATCTTGTGTTATCTTCATCTTAACGTTGTTTTTTTAATTTTCTCTAATTTCTCCATTGTCTATTAGAAGTTCCCATTAACAGAGGTTTTATTAGACGTAATAATAATAATAATAATAATAATAATAATAATAATAGTAAGAATAATAATAATAATAATTTTTAAAGTGCCAATATCAGTAAACCAAAGTAAAGATCAAAGGCACTGTGCATGTTCAGATGTTAAGGTAAGTTTAGAGTTTGGTCTTAAAAATAGCAACTGAAGGAACAAAAAATAAAAATGATCTGTTACCGTAGGATTAACTCTTGGAACAATAAGCAAATTAAGGTCAGAAGAATGGAGGGAGGATAAGGAAACATATTTCGGAAGAGGTTCGGGTAGGTAAGTGGGCTGTTGGAGTCACAGTGCTTTAACTGTTAGTAGTAGAATTTTGTACTTTATTTGTGAATTAATGGGAAGCCAGTGCAAACTATATAACGGAGGATGTGTGCGATAGTCTATTGGCGAGTGTCATCATCGTCTATTGGTAAGGGTTATTATATTGGTAAGGGTCATTATAATCATCCCCATCATCATCTTCATCATAATCACCCATATCACAATTATCACCTTCATTTCCTTAGGCCAACAGATCATATTTTGTCATCATTCATTTTCAATTTTCATCAGTATCATCATCTTGCTCTCACCTATGCTCTACAGCTGCTACAATAAAACCATTTGAAGCAATGTCCAGACAAACGGTGGTGTATGTGGTCCGCATGGCACCGAGACCATGTGAAAATACTACCACTGGGAAGGTTTGGTTTGCAGGTGGTTTGTTAACATCTGCATGCAACATAGCAGGAACACGGTAGGATCCTGCAATAAGGAAACATAAAAACTTATAAACTGTTGTACTAATAACCCTTTTTGCCTAAGGTAAAATTCCGAGATGCTGTGGCCGAAGCCCTCTGTTGTGGCCGCACAGACCTTTTAAGTTTTTTTTTTTGGCAATTTCAAATTCTATTCTATTCTATTTTTAATTGTATTACAGCACAGTATTAGGACACTAAATTCATTACTTACAATTACTGTACCATAAGATTGACTTAATATTTTGTCTAAAAAAGAATAAGATGATTAATTTTTATCACTACTTATTGATAATCTTTTTATTTCTTGCTTGTGTAAAATCATCACAGAACAAAATTGGTGGCACTAATATTTCCCAACGGCAGGGAAGGGGAAATGTACAGGAATCTCTGAAGAGGTGCAGAGGGAAAAACAACCACCGGAAATTCCTAACAACTACACTGAATTTGAATGCTTAAGGCCCGTAAATGATTTTAAAGCCTCATATTCTGTAAAACGAAAGTGTTGAGTTTTCCTTCGAGGGAGCTCTCTCTAACAGGGGTCCTGCCTCTGCAACTGGCACCACCACTTAATTTCAATTCTTGCAAAATTCAGAAAATTTGTTGGGGCTACTTAAAAACCGTCGATGATTTTAAGTAGTGAAACCCATAATTTGTGAATATTCTATTCAAATTTCCATTCATTTTGGTGTTGTTAATGTAAGGCCCTGGAGCCGGATTTATCAAACTAAAAATCAGCTTAAATTTGTCTTAAGTCCATATTTTTTGCTTAAGTCAAATTTATCAATATTGGTTAGCTTAAAAATTGCTTAAAATTAAAAAGTCAATTGTAGGCATGAACCATCTTAGACGATTTTTAAGCTAAACTTTTGCTAAGATGGTTTGATAAATCAACATAAAGTATTTGCTTTGGGACATCTAAACTTTTTCGACTTAAGACATTTGCTAAGCTGAGATTGATAAATCCCGGGTCTGGTATTCAAACTATGGGTCGCAACCAAAGTGGAGTCGCCAAGATAATTTTTCAAGGTCGCCGGACGTTTATTGTTGTCGGTGACTTAGAACTTTCATGTCTTTCTTTCTTTGTGTAAGTGTAACAGTGTACGAAGTATTGTTTCCTGAATTGGTCTTTTTCCAAAAAGAAAAACCATGGAGGTATTATACTGCACATTATTATAATATAGTTTACTCATAATACCTCCATGGTAAATCTAGATAATTTCTTCTATCATATTGACCTTGATTGTTATGTTTGCATCTCATGGAGGACTTCTACGTTTAAGCCTATTGAAATATTATAGTTGTCCACTATGTAGTGTTAGTGGAGTTTGTGTCACTCGCTCACTATCAAATTTGCTGTGGAGGTACTTGAACTTGTAAAGCTTACTTGGAGACAAACTGTTTCTGTTTAAAACTCTACCTTATTCTCTATGCTGCAACACTACAAACTGTATGTACAATATTTACAAGGAAGGCTGTTTGACATGGTGTTGCCTTCAGGGTATCCGAAGGAAGTCTAATACAGTAGTACAAGTACCAAGTTGGGGTGTGGTGGACTTTCTCCGATTGGTTGAAAGATATCACCTTATATCATAGCCGTCGGAAGCATTTTGCAAGTGGTTCCGCCATTATAGTCCGACTTGGGAGGGATGGGAAACTAAACAAATTTTGTCGTAAAAGTTAGTAGGGTGCTGAGCATCCACTATCAGCCTCATCATGGTTGTTAACAACTTTTTTGCAACTCTGAATGCCTGGAAATAAATGCTGACAATTTGTAGAGCTGCTAGCCCCTCCCCTCAAAGAAATAAAATTAGCACAGAGATAGATTCATGTTGGAAACATGGTATCTCTGGATGCCTGGAAATACTAGCTGGCAAACCTGTATAGCCACCACCCCTCCCCATCATGTCTACTGGCAGACAAAGATTTAAAGTTAGTGGGGACTAGAGATATACCCACCTCTGCCCCATATGTTTTTGGCCAATGTGAGCAAATTTTGAAACTTAAGGCATTATAACTAAGTTATTGTTATGAAAATATGTAGTACAATATATACTGTACATTGTACATTTACTAAATTTATCTATATTGAAATATTTGCTCCCAGCGTACACTATATTCATATTCTAAGTTCCGTGGCATGAATATATCCCCATAGCAGGCTCGAGGGTGTGTGAATAATGTTCATGAGGTACTCTCCCATGGAAGATTTTTTTAAAGGGCATCATATTTTTACTGGTATGACTCAAGAAAAAAAAGAGATATAAAAGGCCTATGCCCTGTACATGATGCTAAAGAGTGGGCACAGAAAAAAAGCATCCAGGTTAAAAATGCTATATCTGGACACAGAATGTGGTAGCATTGACCAAATTACAATTCGAAAGAATATTTTAAATCATGGGAATAGACAAATGTAGGTCTACTGCGAAAATTATATATTGTTCAAAATGCAATTAAGTTGCTTATTCCTCCATGAATAAACCAAGTGCAGGAAACAATGTACAAGGAATAACAATGATAACTGTAATTATATCTACACGATGTGCATTATTGAGAAATATTAACAATATGCAATGAAGTAAATAGGTCTAGAACGTGTTCTATGAATACAGATGATACAGTATGCTATGAATTATCTATGGAAATACAGTAGGCCTCCTATGCTTATACAAATAACGTTGTGTTTCGACGAACTTACTGCTCGTACAATTTAATTTACACTTACCAAATTCAGTCTGAAGCATAATCAATTATTTATCACGCTTTAGGTCAGTTATACTATCACTTGAATTATTAAAATGCTGTAATTAAATCCTGTGTTTTCTTCTGGAAGACCTTACAGCGATTACACTCAGACAGACCATGTAGATACATCTATGTACAGATCTAACAGGTGATATAGACAGAGCACTAACATTCAAGGGATATCCAGCTTTTTTTGTAAAAGAGTGGGGAGGGGCACAATGTTGTTAAATGTGGCTAGTTTTACAGGGGTTCAGTGGTCATACCGTGGAAACTTTGTTTACCTGGACGCCCAGAAAAAATATGAAATAATTATGATGATGATGATGATGAAGATGAAACTTTGTTTAAGGCGAGTCCAATTTGGAATCAATGGAAAATAAAGGCCCCGGTAAGGGTGCAGGGAAAAAGCCCCGAGAAACTATAACAACTCCCTGCCCTGACAGGACTAATCCTGTAGGAGTATTTAACGCCAAAAATGAAGTTACTCACAGGCAAACTGTAATTGTAAGAGTGACTTTTTTCATCAGTCGTGCAATGTTTGTTCAACTTAATAGTTTGGCACACAATCGGTATTTTGTAAGTTCACCCATCCTACAGTATATCCACCAAATACCAGGCCTTTTAAAGCTTAAAAACACTTTGCCTGTAAAATCTCTGGACTACTGTACTCATAATAAAAACAAGTCTCAGTGATTTTTTATTTTTAATCTGCTATGTCATATTTAGCTGAGTTAAAACTAGGGTATATAAGCTGGCCAAAAACAATATTTAGCAAGTTGGCTAATTTGGTATGAAAATAAATAGCCAAATATAAATTTGATTAGCCAGAGACAAAATAATATAAGCAATGATAGCTTCAATTCCATTAGCTTTTTGTCTAATTTTGAATGAAAATAATATTTAGCAAAATTCAGCTTTTATCTAGGATTTGGCTAAGGTCAGCTTAAACAATGTGTAACGCCAGGCGGCCCTATGACTTTCTGAGACCGGGTCTCAGTCACCAATTTCATTGTGGGATTTAACATGTACTCGAAATAAATGATATAATATTAGTGACAGAAAATTTAAAATAGGGAGGGCCCAGTGAGGGACTTTCACTTATTGAGGGTCTATACCAGCAGGGTTTGGGCCGAGATGGCCGGAAATGGGTACTCACAGACTTAAAATTTGAATGTTGTACTGGATGTTGTACAGTCTATTCAGAGACACATTTTGCATGTATCAACAAAGCCCTTTTGGGTCAGGATGCTAGACAGGGTGGTATGGGTGAGGCCCCTAAGGGTCGGTCGAGAGCAAATAGGATTACGCCACTATTCACAACACATAACATGTGTACAGTACCAGGGGCGGATCCAGAAATGTCCAAAAGGGGGGCCGAAAGTTGGGCCGATTGAGACAACACTGTCGTAGGGGGTCTGGGGGCACGCCCCCGAGAAATGTTTGTGTTCTAGACGCCCGAACATAACATTTGAGGCATTCTGGGCTATCATTTTTTTCTTTTTCTCTCTTTTTTTTTTCTTTTTTACCTCCCAAAAGGGGGGGCCGGGGCCGGGCCGGGCCCCCCTAAATCCGCCCCTGAGTACACTAAGTACATTAAAAACAATTTGGAAGTATTTTTTTTCTTTAAAAGACAGTCAACACAGTATTTTTGTGGGGATTAAAAGGTCAAGGCCACACTCTCATCTTAAATATAGGCATATTATATTTATATGTGGTCCAATATACAGAATTTTCAAATATAATATGTTAAAATTGTTATTATTATTATTATTTTTTTTATTTATATATTGACAACCTGAGTGTCTGTTCCACTGTAGTAAAGGAGGGTCTAACTGAAAAATATTGAAATATGCTACAGCCTTGCGATACACAACTGTATCGTAAGACGGTCGGTCAATGACTCCTCTTCTGCTCTTTGCTAGCATTTGACAACACAATGCTGTCCATTGTCTGTGGAGTCTACACATTTATGGGGTGCCATACGCAGCAAAAGTCCATGTTAAAATCAAAATGTGATTGCAAAATTCAATGTCTAATTTATCAAAACGTAGGCGTAAATTTCTCAAAACGTAGATCTAGTTTCCCAAAATGAAGTTCAAATTTTTCAAAATGTAGTTCTAATTTCTTTAAAATGTAATTCAAATTCAAAACGTAGGTC